CCAACTGCTGCTGTTTCCTCTCGTTCCATCAGATGCTGAGGGGCGGTTTCAGGGCAAAGTGCGATCCCCCACCATCAGCAGCGACATGGTGGACGGGACCTGCAAGCTTAAGGCAGATCGTTTACTTATCTGCCGTCCTCTGTGAGCCCGCATGCGTTCCATCAGAAGATGGTCAGTCATAGTGCCCCTCTCAGCAGTATGCAGCAGCGGGAGGGATAAGATGAGTGACCTTGATGCCTCATCTTGGTAGAAGCACGTGCACCCCCAATCTCCTTTGTTTCACGGTCTGTGGCGAGAAAGCACACATGGATCTGCAAGTTCACTGTGGCTTTTTGACATCTTCAGCAACAACCATCCAATATACTTTTTGACCAGTCCAGTTTGGACCCCTCAATGGGGCCGACATTTACTAGAAATTTACCAGCGTAGTCCATATGGTATCATCCTAAGCTAAAATCAAGATCACACACATGTGAGGTCAGCATACAAACAAAATACTGAGATAGACAGAAAATGCCCTGAGACATCCTTTTATGAATTAAAAAGAACCATAAAATATAAATAAAAACCTCGCACTGCGTTCCCCCTGAACGTAAACGTTTGAGCAGCAAAAGATAAAATAATAAAAATAAACACGTCATATCAAAAAGACCTGAGTAAGGCAACCCATTAGTGAGCTAGCATTATGGCTCAGTTCAAAGTATATTCATTAACCCAGGATCTATGATATACTCAACTACCCTACACCAGTAATTTATATAACCCATCAATGGTTGACAAGACTTATTTAACAGGAAGCTTCTAAGGTTTATGAAAGGTCCGAACACCTTTTTGTAAAAACAGCTAGTCAAATCATTATAGCCAGAAATCCCAACTGGGAAAAGAGTCTGCTTATGGCAGGAAAAAACTGTCTCAGCAAAAGAAAAGGACAGAGGTTGAACCATGAACCTCGGGGGACATCTGTTGTTTTAACAGGCTGGAATCACTGCGTTTGCTTCAGAATGGACCAAAGGCCAAAATAACAAAGAAAAGCCTAGCTCTCAATAACCCTTGAAGCACCATGTATCTGCCTGACTTATTCAAAACAAGCAAAAGGTTAAACAGAAAATGGCAGTCCACTCTTACTGTTGCAGTGCTATAACAAACTTCACTGAGCAAAACTAATAATCAGAAGATAGTTGAGGATATTAATGGTTTGCTGGTATAACCCAAACATGCACTGCATTGTGCAGAATTCTATCACCAAAGAAAATAACCCAATAAAATAAAACTGCATAATTGAAACAATAATACAGAATATGGTGACATTAGCTTAAATTTGGGGATAGGCTACAAACCAAAGAATGTGTATATATATATATATATATATATATATATATATATATATATATATATATATATACACACACACACATATATATTCCAAAAAACCAGCCGCTTATTGGAAAGGTCAGGTGAGCTTGAGGTGACCCCCCAGGCAGCAACAATTACCTGGGGCAAGACACCAGTGAATGGAAAGAAACCTAGGGCACTGTATGTACCACAGCAAAAGAAAGGCAGCTTGCATCAAAGAGAAGGTCGTATGAACTAGGGATGAGCGAGTACACCACTATCTGTATCTGTATCTGTATCTGTTCACCCAACTAAATTATCTGTATCTGTACTCGGAATGGGCGTGGCCTAACCCGGAAGTGGGCGTGGTTTAACCGGAAGTGGACGGGGTTTACATCAATGTATCATTTTAAGTCTGAAATTGATATGGATTGATCAGAAGTTGCTATGTGTATTGTTTATTTGAAAACTATTTACAGAGCAGCCTCAGAATTGAGATTAAATATTTTTGATCACAATAGTAAAGAAACTATTACAGAACAAGTGTTTCAATAAAATCAGAACATTAATATTTGAGTGCATGGATTAATACATCTGAACTCATGCAGTAGGAACTAGGAAGTATGAAATGCTAGAACCAGACACAACTTTATATATATATATTTTTTTATTTTTATTTGATTAAACTGATTTTTTTCTTAACGTTCTTGGCATTTTCCCACACAAAGTTAAACAAAGAAATGTTGATTAATGTGTGTGTGTGTGTGTGTGAGAGAGAGAGAGAGAGAGAGAGAGAGAGAGAGAGAGAGAGAGAGAGAAAATAAAAAAAACCCGACCGGAGCTGAGGTAGTGACAACAGCATGTCAGCTCTGTCTTGTCAAATGCACCACGTCAGTTACGAAAAAAGTAACTTTAAATATTCAACCAAAAAAGAGGCGAGCTGAAGAAAACCTAGGGAAAACTGAAGAAACGTGAGAAACAGTGAAGCCATCACAGCGCGATCCGTTACTGTCTGTGTGTGTGCGTGGATGAGCCGGCCGGACTGCGCTCCCGGTCGGCTAGAGAGTTTTGTAAGTAGGGAGGGGCGGGCGCTGTATGTGACTGGCCAATCACAGAGCGTGAAGACAGTCAGTTACCCAATGAAGATTTTCCTTCAGCACGATTACAGATAATGACTCGTTTTACTCGTTTCATGCTCGTATTCGTCAAAAATGCGTTATCCGTACCAGATACTCGTCTGAAACGAGTATCCGGCTCATCCCTAGTATGAACGCCAATAAAATGTGTCTTTAGATTCAGTCAGAAAAGGACTTCAGAAGCACATTTCACTTACAACTGATACATGTCTATATATTATCATCAATGTTCTAAAGCATTGAAACTATAATTTATTATCAGTAAACCTTATTCATGCCCTTGCATATGTTACTAATGCAAGTGCAATGATTACAATGGCACATCTGCAAAAAATGCTTGCTGGAAAAATGTTTCTGTTTACTGATTTAGCAAAGCAAGCTGGAAGAGCTCCAGTACTTTCTAATATGAAAAGTATCAGAAATACAACCAGACTGCTTATGAGAGCGTATATAAAAATGGTCCCTTCAGATTTGACAAACATTCCTCCGTTTCTTCCTCGCACACTCTCACAGAGATTCTCGGTCAAGTCACACACTCAAAGTCCCAGTCACACACACACACCGACGCTCAGAACTGCAGTCGAGCCTTCCACACACACACACATATGAACACACCCACTCAGAACTGCATCCGAACCTTCCACACACAACATTCCTAAAATCCTGAGACACGCATACCTACACACACGTACCAGAACAAGACCTGCAGGCTTTCACACACATAAACACAATGAGTCGGCAGACAGCCGGGGCTTTTCCTTTTAACACTTTTGCACAGACTTAAAACCACAACACAACACAGACGTCCGATGTCCGTGATGGGACAGCCGACACCAATATGTCAGCAACGAATCAAGATCTGCACAACCAGAAGTGGCAATCCTGACCACTCAGAACTGGAACGCATCCCACAATGCCAGCAGCACAACAAATCACAAATAACACACAGCAAGGGCAAATTTAGACCAACTTGGGAGTCTTTGACCAATTGTAACGGTGATTAATTTTGCCTTTGCCCCCAAAATGTCCTGAAACGGCCCTGGGTGTGTGACTGAGTTTTGAAGGTGATCTGAATTGTATCAGATGTATAATTATTACATGTGTATAACTTATTGTTTTATACAGATAAAAATGTGAAGTGGAGATAAATCTACCTACATTTTACTTTTCAACACTTTGTTTTGTTTTCTTGTTTTTATTTAACTATTTTCTTGTCCTGTCTGTCTCTCATCTTCCTGCATCTCCTCTAAACTCTCCAGAAAATCTGCTGCCTGGAACTTTTTCACCTCATCAGTTACTTTTGAGCAGATCAAAGGGATCTCCTGACCACAAAGCAGAGAGTGCATTTCAGTGCTCCATCAGTGAGGTGAAATCACCGCAGCGCAGGTGATGAGCTCCGCAGTAGTAGAGCGCTTCAGGCACAAATAAGACAGAAAGAAGACAACATGTGCGGACATGAACGATCGTGTGTTAATTATAGTTTTTTGGTTGCACCACTTTGAGAATGGACCCAGCTCTGGAAGCAGCAGCCTGGAGCGCTGCGCAACAACGGATCAGCACTGTGCCGCTGTCTGTGCTCTCTGCTTAAAAGAGTCCATAAATGATGTAATATAGGTAGAAGACTTTTTTTTCCGGCTCCCCTGGATGTGTAGGACAAACAGCTCCCCCATAATTTGATCCCTGCTCCTGGATGAAAAGCTGGACATTTTCATCAATACAAGAACCCCCAGTCCGGACGTGCCGGACAGAGAGTGAAAAGTGGACACGGTCCATCTCCTTTCCTTTTTGTATTGATTTCTCTCTGTAAACATGCTGTTAACTTGCTTTGCACATCTTCTAATTGAAATCTGTCTTCATCCTATATATATTATTTTTTCATAAGCTTGCGTTTGGTGCCCCTCCCCCGGCGTGGTGCCCTACTCGCTGTGCCTGGTGTGCGTGTGCAGAGCGCCGGCGCTGAACACACCTGGTTTTAATCAGCAACAAATAGCTGAGCTGCTTAACAGCTAATCTAACCTGTTAAAGCAGGAAAACCACTGAAACCTGCTGGATAGCAGCTCTCCAGGAGCCCTGGGCTCAAGTTACAGTCTGCTGCATAGAAAGTTATGAAAATACCCCATGAGAAAATTATTCTGTAATGTGTTCAGCTCACTAAAACTGCTCTGATTTCATTATTTATTTACTGATACCAGCTGCTCTCTTGGTCGTAGATGATCCTCTGGTGGTCTCCTCTGCTGGTGTCGTCAGGATCAGGAGCTTCCAGAAGAATGTGCCTTTCAATGACTCTTTCCCCCTTATTTGTTATATTAATTAAATAAATCTCAATTTATATATTTCCTGTTTTTGTTCATGTCCATAAATACTTCAACATGCTTGAAATTAAAACGAGCTTTTAACAGTGAGGTGCTAGTTTAATTAATAACAATAGAGCTAAACATGCAACAATGTGATAATTCAATTAATGTAATTTATAAATATCCATTAAAATATCAAAACTCGAATCAAAATGAGATATTTGGCAGCACAAAAAACTTGTCAAACACAATATTTATTATAATAATTGTAGGCAGACAGGAGACAGAGCTGATGGAGGTTCTCAGTCATCGAAGGATGGCTGAAGGCTTTCCAGGAACAGGAGATGAGGTGTTGTCTCTTCTCTCTCTATTCTGCCAGATGAGCTGATAGGTTACAGGTGTGTGAGGACATCCTCATGCTGTCATAACCAGATGACATGAGTTATCAGGTGATCAGCCAGGCTAATGATGAGATGCAGAAAGAAAACAAATCCAGGACAGTGTACAGTAATAATAATAATAACAATAATATGTGGTGTTGCTCACCTTATGTGCTCTTATAGAGTATTAACGTGTGCCTGCCTCATGGTGTAGTCCATATTTTGCTGAGTGTCCTGCAATAATGCAGGTTATTAGTTAATTCACTTTTGATAGCAAAGAACAAAATATTTTAATGTAAAAGTTATTTACCAGGTGAATCAGCTCACATGTCATCACCACGTGTCACAGGGGCAGAATCAGTAGCCTCCTTCATAATGTCATGATGTAATCACATACTTATTTAATTGTTAATGTCTTAAAAATTCTGAAATGTTTTTTTTTTTTTTTTTTTACCTTGAACAGTTCACTGAGCTTGCACTGTCACTGAGGTGGAAGCTGGAATCAACAGCAGACACCTCATATCTTGGTCTTTTCAGGGGGTGTGGACGCTGCTCTGGGACTTTCTGGAAGATGAATTTCCGTCATGGTCTCTGTGTCACAAGACACACAGCGGCTGTGAGCTCTAAACTGGGTGGCTATGTAAAAAACAAAGAACCAGCACATTAATAAATATTTAAAAGAGCATAAAATCACGTGTAACAATAATCTGTAAAACAAATTAAAACTAGAAGGTGATAATAAAATGTTTACATAGAAGATTATTAAAAATAATTCACCTTTGCTACGCCGGTAAGGCTTCACGTCAGCCTGGACAAGTGCATTCTTGCAGACTACTAAATCAGTCTGACAACCAATGTCTTGGGTAGATTTAGCCTGAAAAAAAAGAAGCACATTGTTGTTGGAGTTTATAAAGTCAGATAATATACAAAAGAAACTGTCCTATATAGGCGCGTTGTAACATTCCTAGTGTGTGATCGTTATTATAACATAAAAGTCAGTCACATGATGTGAAGAGAGCCTGAAATGCGACCTCCTGAACAGAATTCCTCACAGAAATGGGTCACGCTGTAATGCTGTCTGTCAATTAGTGCTGCGTTAGAGTCACTGTTAGCAGAGTTACCGACTGAGACAAAAAAAAACCGAATTTTCTCCGAGCCTGACAGTAATAGTCATGTGGACCGTTTTGTCGGCCAGGGTTTCGAGATATGTTCCGATTTGCTGCTGATTCTAACCTTACATCCCGTTCTACATTTTGTGAACTTGACAAATCTGCCCGAAGGCAGTGCAGACTGATATCAGCTAAATTAAGTGAACCACGTCTCTCAAGCTTTGCATTTAGGTAGGGAATTGTCTTTAGAAGATGTTAAAAATTTTATTTAGCTTACTCACCTCAGACTGGAGCCTGCCATGGTGGGGGAGCAGAGTCGGTAGGCTGCATCTAAATCGCGGAAGAGCCACGGTGGAAACGGCCTCCCTCTTCAAATGGAGACGTGCAGAATAACCCAGTTCAAACTCCATCATGTTGGCAAAGGAATCGCGGGTAAAATGCTCGTTGCAAACTACAGCACCAGGCGGGAGCTGACTGTTTTCCAGACACCAATTGCGCACAATCACTGGCGCCTAATTTCTAAGTCCAGTGGAAAGGAGTGCAACCCAACAGAGCCACCGCAACCACACTACACTACACCTTCTCACCATACTAACACGATATGGAGCACTAAACCCAAACTACTTTCCTAATAACACTAACAGCCAAACACTAACTAAACTACAATATCCAACAGCCAAGCTAACACCAAATAAGTATGTATAACACTAAAAGCTATGCTAAAGATTAGGGTATGCTAATGCTATATGCTAATGCTGACCTACCGCTAACCGTCCTACACTCACTTGCAAATCCAACTCCCAAGTCTCCACAAGGCGTGGCCGAGACTCTCGTTGCTTTTATAACTTTGACACAGCTACTACGTAGTACTCTACTGGTTTACGTAATATCTTACTCTCCCTAGTCTGAAGCGTGGCAGAGTCTCTGTGGTGTTTATAAATCTGTCAGCTTTGATTCGTCCAGAATCAGAAACATCCAGATTAATAAAACAGTTCCAACGCCATCTTAAGTTCAGTTCTCAAGATACCACAAAGTTCACCGCATGTTAAGTGAAGTATTGGACTGGACATCTGTACTTCTCTTTTGAAACTGAGAACCATTCAAGCTGGGAAAATTCTGTTGTTTTGTGAACCAAGCAACGGTACCTTTCAGAATAAAAGCTGTACTCGCTGACCCAAGGAGGGTCCCCTTTTGACGCTGTGAAACACCTGTTGCTTTTTACCTGGAGACTCGTTACTGTTGACGCTGTTTCATTGGCTCCAGTGCCAGAGGGTCGTGGACCTGGCATCCGGATCTGTACGGAGGTCTCAACTCTGAGGCGTCATTCAAATAGAGCATCCATCATTAGAGAGTTAGTATTGTCAAATTGTTTAAAATTATTTAGTAATAAATTTCCTTAAACGTTTGAAGGTCTCTCTCTCTTCTCTTGTCTCTTAGTTAATACAAAGTGTTATCTAAATCCCTGCAATAAAAAGATCCAATCTTCTGATTTAAATAACCCAGTGTCCATAAGATGGATTTCATACTCGATATGAAATACTAATGTCGTATGGTCCTTAATTAAATGCAATTAACACTCGTTACAATATATACATACACACATACATACACACACACACACACACACACACACACACACACACACATATATATATATATATACACATTTGTGTGTGTATATATATATATATATATATATATATATACACATACATATATATATACGTACATACATATATATATATATATATATATATATATATATATATATATATATATATATATATATATAACTCACTAACTCACATCACTCACTCACTACTCTTTCGCTCACTCACTATTAACTCCCTCCCCCACTAACTCACTATTCACTCACTCACTCACTACTCACTCACTCACTACTCACTAACTCACTACTCACTAACTACTCACTCACTCTACTCACTCACTCACTACTCACTCACTCACTCGTTCACTCACTTCCTCACACGTTCACTCACTATTCACTCACTCACTCCCTCACTTGCTCACTCACTACTCCCTCGCTAACTCACTAAATCACTACTCACTCACTCCCGCCCTCACTCACTCCCTCTACTCACTCACTCACCCACTACTCACTCGCTCACCCAGTACACACTTGCTCACTTTTCACTGACTACTCACTCGATCTCTCACAAACTCCCTTATTACTCACTTGCTCGCACACTACTCACTCACTCACTCACTCACTCACTCACTCACTCACTCACTCACTCACTCACTCACACACTCACTACTCACTCACTCACTCCCTCACTCACCAACTCACTACTCACTCTCTCACTGCTCTTTCGCTCACTCACTACTAACTCCCTCCCTCACTAAGTCACTACTCACTCACTCCCTCACTCATTACTCACTCTACTCACTCACTACTCACTCATTCACCACTCACTCACTCAGTACTCACTCGCTCACTCACTTCTAACTCCCTCCCTCACTTACTCATTACACACTCATTCCCTCACTCACTCACTCACTCACTCACTCACTCCCTCACTACTCACTCGCTCTCTCACTACTCCCTCACTTGTTCACTCACTCACTCCCTCACTCGCTCACTCACTACTCACTCACTACTCACTCACTCGCTCACTCACTACTCCCTCCCTCACTCACTCACTACTCCCTCACTCCTTCACTCGCTCACTCACTATTCACTCACTCACTCACTCACTACTCCCTCACTCACTACTCACTTGCTCACTACTCACTCACTCACTACTCCCTCACTCACTACTCACTTGCTCACTACTCACTCACTCACTTGCTCACTCACTCATTACTCACTACTCACTCACTCACTCATTCACTACTCACTCACTCACTAACTCTCTACTCAGTCACTCACTACTCACTCAGTCACTCACTCACTACTCACTCACTCCCTCCCTCACTAACTCACTCATTCACTACTCACTCACTCACTTATTACTCACTTGCTCACTACTCACTCACTCACTCACTAACTCTCTACTCACTCACTACTCACTCACTCACTCCCTCACTCACTAACTCACTCACTACTCACTCACTCACTCACTATTCACTCACTCACTACTCACTTGCTCACTCCTCACTCACTTATTACTCACTTGCTCACTCACTCACTCACTCACTCACTCACTCACTACTCAGTCACTCAGGTCTCAGCGAGCTGCTTTAACTGGTCACACGACTGTGGTGTTAGTCATGTGCCATGGGCGGGGCGTGTGAAAGGTGAAGTATTGGTAACACAGTGATCCTCATGTTCAATATTCACTGAACTGTTTCATCGTCGTCCAATCATGAAAAGATTCTAACTCAACCAGTAAAAGTTACACATTTGTAAAACACATGGCCAGTACACACGGCTGTAATGACACACTGCCTCCACACGGTGGCGATAGAGACGTTTTAATATTCCATCTTCTGAGTGAGGAAACAACATCAGATGAATTAGACTGATCCAGTGTGTTTAGGCTTTGGTGCCAGTGAAACATTACCAAGAGAGAACTGACGGCAGTTACCTCTGGTAGCAGGTCAGCTGTTGGTTGGTGTCTCTGGTCCACAGAGCTATCTGGTGCCACACTGACGAACAGCACTGTCCTCCTTCACCTTTTAATGTCTCCATGTCCAGCTCTATGCTTTCTCCCAGGAGTGCTTTCAAAAATATGCAATCTTTGAGTAGAGGCCTGAAAAAGCCCCTGAGAATCAGAACGGACCCCCTTACCGCCCTCCTCTGGATCCTTCTTATTGCTGTTTGTTATTGTTTCACTCACAACTGATGTCTGGTGTGGGACGTATCTGTAACGGCTCTGGTCAACAACTGCAGGGCACCTCCATAGTCTGCTTCCTTAGTGTGGATGCTGACCAACAATCCATATATGGCTGCTCTCAGTGATAGGGTCATGTCATCATCTAAAACACACACACACACACACACACACACACACACACACACGCGCGCGCGCGCGCACATTGATAATCGCCCACCATGTTTTATTAATCCATTAACACGATAAAGTCACACTGAAAACGATCAGACTGATTTGGGAAAGAGCTCTAAACATTATAAAGCTGT